CGGGAGTCCAAGAGAGCACAATTGGCCTCGCTTTCTCTGGGTGGGTAGGATGGCCCCTCCTTCTCCCCCCATCACTCAGCGCGATGCTAGTCAGCGCAGGCGTCTGTTAGCTGACGTAACAGATCTGGCAGTTGGCGCTTTCCTCCGAGCGCGTTCGGCTGTCCAGTGACGTTGCGTGAGCGGCAGCTCGAAAAGAAGCAGTGGTTGGCTTCACAGGTCTCGGAGGAAGCCTGTGTTAACCTTCACCCTCCTAGCGTTGATAGCATCGTGTCATTGGGGGAGTCCTAACTAGCGGGTGGAATTGGAGACGACTAAATTGGGGAGAAAATCGGGTAAAAATTAAAAAAAAAATAATAAAATGCGTTACAACATTTTGGGCTCCTGGCACAACCGTCTAAGCGTTGGCCCTATCATTAGGTGATTGAGAGTTCAATCCCTGGTGATGCTACAGCCGTCCATGGCCGGGGGTCCAAGACAGCACAGTTGGCCTCGCTGTCTGATGTTGCGTGAACAGCAGTTCGAAAAGAGGCGGTGGTGCTTCACAGGAGGAAGCATGTGCTAGCCTTTGCCCTCCTAGTGCTGGTGGTATCATGAGATCGGGGGAGTCCTAACCAATGGGTGGAACTGGATACGACTAAGTCGTGGGGAAAATTGGGGAAAAAAAATTCTTTTCAACATTTCAACTTTGGCCTTTAAACATCATTTTTTAAATGTCATGATTCCAGGCTTATTACCAAGAATGCTTAAGTAACTACATGGACAAAAATGCAAACTGATTAAGCTATTCTCAGGTTATTTGGACCCACCGGTGGGTCCTGGCCATTTAAGCGGTTAATCACATCCTTAGTTCCCTCCTCTTCTAACATTAATTTATATATATATATATATATATATATATATATATATATATATATATATATATATATATATATATATATATGCATGTGCTACATAGAGTACTGTGCAAAAGTCACAGACTCTCTTCATTTGTGTAATTTCCAGTCATTTTTCAGCATCAGAAAAAGCAGAAACATATATTTAACACAACATTGCACAGAAGACTCAACAACTAAATATAATATTTCATTTTTCAGTATTTAATGTGTCCACTCTTTACCTTTATTGCAGCTTCCATACTTTTCAGGAGACTCACTTTTCCGTTTTTTCTAAGAAATCTGCAGGGATATTTTTTCACCCTTCCAAAGTTCAGGCTTAGAAGTTGGTTGCATTTTCCAATTATAAATTTCGACTCATCAGTCCATATCAGACCTTACTCCACATTTCTGGTCTGGTCTCAGTTTTCTAGTGCAAATGTAATAAAGATAAAGAGTGGACACACTAAACACTCAAAATAAGTTAGTGTTGGTTTTGACTGAAAATCAAATAAATGAGGGGTGGTCTCTGACTGTTATATATTTTATATATCCTCAATTTGTTCAGTTCTACACATGGCTGTGATCAGTACAAGCATGAAGTGTTGCCGTGGCGTGCAGCGCAGGCTTATTATACCAGCTGATGTAGTGGAAGTGCTGTGTTGACCGAGTCCGTATCCTGAGGGCAGCTATTCCCTCTAACAGAGTGTGCATAATTAGAGAGTAATAACTTTGAATGCGTTTTCCTCTGACACATAAAATAAAAACCTCAGGCTGCAGACTCTCTGTGTTGCCTGCTCCCTCTGTCCTCAGGCTACTCTGTTTGGTGGAGTTGCGGCCAATCTCACCACCTTGCGCCTAACCTCTTCACAGCATGGTGTCTGGGGGTCGGCGGGGGGCTGATGGGGTTATGGGTTTAAGTGGGTTGGCTTAGGCGTTGCAGGGGAGGCAGTGGGCACTGGCCTACCACAGTCACCCAGATGGGAGGTGACAAGTATTCATTATAGTCCATCTTTCCTCCTTTACTAAAAGGTCTGTGTACTATATTTTTGGTTTTATGTGCCACAAATAGTCATAATTCATTTTACATGATGATTTTCCAACCTCTCTGTATCCTGTAGGATTAAATAAGCTGGTTGTTAATGTGCCTTTAGGACTGAGATACAGTACTGTCCACCCTTTATTTACTCAATTTCCAGTCAGAACAGCCATTAAGGTCAAGTTATTCATTTTTCAGGAGGTGTTTTTGAGGTGGTTAGATATAATATAGATATATATATATATATATATATCTATATATTATATAGAGAAGGTTTCCCCATCATCCTTGGAAGGTGATTGTCTGTTTGTTTCACAGACAGGAAGACACACTTGCACGATGCTTTCATAAGCATAAGAATAAAGAAAGCCAAGATTAGGTTCCTTTTTTTTTGCAAGCAGAGATTTAAAACTGTGCCATGGTTGTGACCTTTGTAGCAGTACTTTTTGTAAATTTTTAGTGTTTACATACTACATTGGACTTTTGTATTAAAAAAATCCCATCATCCTTGGAAAGTAAGTTTTTGTTATTTATGTATTAGTTAATTTTTTAAATGTGGACAGATTTATTTCTTGGCATTATGCTTGCTTAATGCTTTCAGAGGCATCGGCGTAAGTAAAAAAAGGCTGTGACTGTGCTTCTCCTTGCAAAGTTTTAAATCATTTCATTACAAGTTCAGAACAGGTTCCCATTCACAGGCGGCATGGACTGCTGAGCAAACGGTACATCTATCAGTGTTTACATACTACATCAGACTCTTATTTCAAAAAAGCATGATTTGTTTGTTCATGATATGAGCCCTTTAAGTGTCCTCAGAATGTTTTCCTGTCATTCTTGGAAAGCAAGTGTTTTTTCTGTTTTGTTTTTTTTTTGAAGAAAACATGGACAGATTTGTTTCTGGAAGACATGCACGCTAGGTGCTTTCAGAGACCCTCTCTGAGCCTTAAAATAAATAAAAGAGGGCTGCGAGTGCTCCGAGATTTTCTTTTTGGCGTGCGAAGATTAAAGCTACCTCAGCTCAGTCTCCCAACCATGTGGCTCTGAGTCAGAGCGGAACGCAGTGTCTTGCGCTGTCAGACACTCTGCTTGTGAGTCCGTGGCCTATTTTACATGTCAAGGCTTTTCTGTATCAAAGAAGGAGCCGAGGAGCAGAGAGAAAGTGTCTGGGACAGGTGCCGTCACCCTTTTGCCTTCTACCTTAACCCAAGCAGTGCTTCATCTGATGTGTCAGTGGATCGGACTCTAAGCTGATAGATTGTGCTGGACTGTGTAAGGGGGCTGTGTAGTACATAGGTCTCTGAATCTGACCCTTAAGCCATATACACTCACTGGACTCTTTATTAGAAAGCAGTGAGGTGGCGTGGCCAGTAGCGAGGGTGGTGCCCTTGTTCATCACTCTAATACAGTGGACCAGTCTCATACTAGACTCTGCTGCCTTTTTCCCTGGTGTCATTTTTTATGACACACACGCTGCTTTTTTGCCTGTGGTCATCCACAACCTAGTTGATTAAACAAATCATTTCTGTCCAAAGAAATAAACCTTCTTAAAGGAACAATATGTAATATATTTACTGTACTAAATCATTGAATGACCATATGTTGTCAGAGATTAAAGAAACATGCTAAGTTGAAATACTGGCTTCTTCAACAACAGTGCTACAGCCAACATGTTCTCTTGTGAAATTTCCATTCTGGAGCGAAACGACCTATGAGGTGGGCGTTTCTAATAAAATGAGCATTAAGTGGAAGTACTGAGGGGTTACTCTAATGAAGTGGCCAGGCAGTGGAAGCCCAAGGTTGGTGTTTCTAATAAAGTGGGCAGTGAGTGGAAGCACAAGGTTGGTGTTTCTAATAAAGTGGCCAGTGAGTGGAAGCACAAGGTTGGTGTTTCTAATAAAGTGGCCAGTGAGTGTACCTACAACATTGGTGTTTCTAATAAAGTGGCCAGTCATGGTACTGTAGCTGTAGATTCAGCTTTAGATCTACTTTGTCCAACTTGACCCATCCTTGGCCAGTGTTAAATTACGCCCCCACCACAAACCGCCACTGCCACCACCACACAAGCTTCACCTGTTCGGACAGAACTAACGTAGCAGGGTGGGATGGAATATTTTCAATCTGCCGGAACAATTGAGCCAGCTGGAATTCAATCAGCGAAGACTATGGAGAAAACGACTGAAGCCCCTCCAGAAATCTCCAACCTGAATGTCCTCCTTTTCTTTGCAGGTTATCAGTCCACCACACCAAAGAGGCTTTGCCTGGCCAGCATCAATCTTAATTTTCACTCTTTTTCCTCTGTCCTTTTGCTTAACAGGTTATTTCCGATGCACCATGGTGCTGTTTGACCACTCTTGTTACATGTCCCCCCAACACACACACACTTTGCTCTGTTGTTTCCTGTGTGTTTGCAATTTAAGACCAAGAAAAGCAAACAGAGGTCCATAAAAGCTTTTGTCAAAACTTTGAATCACTTGTTTACTTATTCTGTGCTACTATCTATTTCATGTCTTTTGACTTTCTAAATATTATAATCACTGTTTTTTATCGCTAGTGTAATTAGTCTGGTAATTAGTTGCCTTGTTTTAAAAGGTGGTTGGAAATGAAAGTATGGGTTATGTATTTTTATGACTCCAAACTGATAATTAGGTGCAAAGTACGTAATGCATTATTAAACTGCTGTTTCCCTGGAGTAATGTGTAACTAGATAAAAAAATGGCAAAAAAGATGTTAAATAAATGGAATTAAGAAAGATAGAACCTTGGAAATTTAAATTTGTCTCATTGATATTGATAGAAATGGGATCTGTGTTGGTTTAACATAGCTATTAATCTCGATACAAATCATGCAACTTAATGGTCATATAATGTAGATGTAGCTGTAGTGTTTAAGACGATTATTTAAATTAAACTGGTATCAGTTAAAGTTGTTGTAGCTTTGTTTTTGTTTTTTTTAAACGTTCCTAAATTGTCCTAAAAGATTTCAAAAATTAAACCCTTTTTTCAGTTGTATAGTCCAGGCTTCTAGCTTTACCATTTAACTCTTCACCTTTCAGACTTTTAACCAATGAAATGTCTCTTTAAACTTTAAAGGAAACATTGATAACGAACGACTGGCGATCGCTAGGCAGCGAATCCCATACCGACTTGGTCGAGTAGTTGACGATTGGCTACTCGACAAAGGTAAAAACACTGATTAAAAACTCACCGAGTAATTTGAGCTTTAAAGTAGCATAAACCCATAAATTAAATGTACAGTTAAACGTACGCAAATTAACCTTAAAAGCAGCTAAATGTAGCTAATGTAGTTGATAATGTATTTGAACTGTATAATGTGTTAACCACAGGTTAAAGGGACTGTAAAGATAAATCTAACAAGCATTAAAGCAAGCATGATTAATATTAGTTTATAAAAAGGTATAAATCTTTCATTAAGATATTGTTTAAATGTTAAGATAAAAGCCTAAAGTAAAGTATTTTTGCTGCTTTTCAGATATGTTATGTACGTATTATATACGTATGTGTTTTTCATTATGTATCTGATATTAAACTGATAACTAGACTGAAACCTTAATTGGCATGAGAATATAAGTCCCTTTAACATATTATTTTAAATGTATGTAGGGCTTAAAGTAAAACATATAAAAAGGATGAAAAGAATCAAGAAGAAGTATTGAGTGCATGCCTGTGTTATATGTTTGGGAAGAAACAAATGATTTGTCCCACATTTGGAAATGTGCCATCGTTCCTTTTCCGTTCTGTTGTTTGCTTCAGTCAAATGAATCTGAGCTGTTCACTTCTTTATTTCTCCCTTGCATCCTCCACGTCACTGTTACTGTTAAATGTTCACGTACCATCCATGTATATTGCTAAAAGGCGATAAAATTACATGATTTCTTCATAAGGACTTCATTTCAAGTCCAGTGCAAAAGCACTGAATAACTTATTTATATTTATAAGAAATACTTGGGTATTTATGAACAGCTTATGCTATTAATCGCAATAAAGTGCTGACTTGAGTGGGTTTAAACAAAGGTAACAGGCATTTGTTCCATTTACAACACTGTTATGAAGTGGATATGTGCTCTAAACTTGGCCCGTGCTTTATAAATTTCACTGCCTGGGAACAATGCTTCATAACAGTGTTATAAATGGAACAAATGCCCATTGCTTTAGTGTAACTCCCAGCATTTCAATACAACGTAATTTACTGCATGAAACATCATGTAATTTTGGGATTACTGGCATAAGCTGTTCATAAATCGTTGAATGTTGCTTAATGAAAACCTTACTCAATGCCTATGCATGTGTTATGAAGTCCCTATGTAGATAGGCCTACTAATGTGCTAGCATATATCTCAGCAACTTGCTAAAAGGCTAAAAGTTTCAGAAAGTGAAATCTGCAAGATTCTCTCATGGTTACTTACTCAAAGCCCCCCACTTCCAACATTTTATGACATCAAGAGTTTTAAAGAAACTCGAGTGAACAACTTGTCGTTAAACGTTAATTGGCTGACAAAGAGAAACATCTGTTATAGATGCGTTTCCAAAGCTGTGATGACATTAGCCGACAAAAATCTCTTTAACCACATATGGAGAGTTCATATGGAGAGAAGCATTCTCAAGTTGCCTTCATTAATTTGGAGAAATGACTCAAGTTTGGCATATCATGATCGAATGTCATGGTGATCAGCTCAAAGCTGAGAGGGTTTTCTTGGCCTCTCCAGAAAGTTCTTGCCAGAAAGTGGCCTTTTAGCAACACATTGCTAAGTTTAAGTGTGTTGCTATGTTCTTTTCTTTATCATTATATCTTCATTTCATGGGCACCCCCCCCTCCCATCATTATAACAACGATAAATTACCAGCCACTCCCACCGGCAATGGGTAATTTATTGTGCTCATTACCCAGCGGCCAAATAATCCGTCTTTCTATCCGGGCGCGATTATTCCTCATCATTCTTTCTCTCCCACCCCTGTTTATGTGTTGAGATCTTGCCGGCGTGGTGCTTCGGCATTGCCATACATTTGGTGCTGTTGTTTCCCTTCCGCAGGTCGCCAGCTTACCATTTTTAACAGCCAGACCACCATCCAGATCGGGGGCTGGGACCGGGACCGCAGCCGCTCCTTCCAGGGCCAAATGTCGGGCCTGTACTACAACGGCCTGAAGGTGTTCAACATGGCTGTGGAAGGTGACCCCAACATACGCATCGAAGGAAGTGTCCGGCTGGTGGGTGAGGCACCTTCCTCCTCGTCCATCACGCCACAGTCCAGCGCCACGGCCAACCGCTCCGACACATCCACCTCTATCATGGAAACCACCACTACCACCACAGCATCCAGCCGCAAGGTCAAGCAGACCACGCCCAGGGAGCCGCAGCAGGTAAGGATCTTCCACTTGGTTTCTGCTTGGTGTCTTTTCTTTACCTTTTCTTGCCATTCCTGCTAGTGAGGGTGTGTTTTAAGCACGGAGGTATTATTTTGGGTTGTCATGATTCTACATATTACCATTGCCTTTACTAAAAAAAACAAAAACAAAAAACTAATGAAGAATCCCCTTTTAAAAGTGTGTATGGTTAGCAGCTAGCAGTAGGGTTATGGCTGTCTAGCAGTAAGCAGTAGGTCTAGGGTTAGCTAGCAGTAAGCTAGCAGTGGAGTTAAGGTTATTTGGGAGTAAGCTAGAAGTAAGGTTGTGGCTGTCTAGCAGTAAGTAGTAGGTTTGGGGTTAGCTAGCTGTAAGCTCGTATTAGGGTTAGGGTCAGCTAGCAGTAAAGTTTGCCTATGATAATTCAGTGTTTGACGTTTAGCTGTTTTTAGTAATTTAGTAATTTTGGTGTATCTTTCATAATAATTCTTTGTGTTTGTTCTATTCGCCAAATGTGAGTATTAAATATTGCTGCTTCTGACCAGTATTTGCATACAAAACTCTAAAAATGCACATGCTATGCTAATACTCTATGCTAGCTTGCTGGCTACATGATGGATAAGAACAATGCTGGCTTGCAGTAACTAGCTAATTATCAAAGTTAAAAAAACAAAGGAAGTTGGTCTTGTTAAAGTAGTTGATTGAAATAATCTGCTGATACACATACGGCGGTGACAGCTGTCATATATTAAAGTTATAATTGCCATTATTTGCGGCTTGAGAGAAGTGAAGCTTGAGAATGGTACCTGTACCATATCATATTCCAGAAGCTCCATATGTGTTCTATCTCATGTGGTAGAGCCATTCTTGTAAGGTCAACAAAAGCAGTCCCAGCACTTTGTCACACTTTGTCACAGATTATCTTCAGTGTATCTTATAATTGTCACTTTAACTTTTACAACATCACACATTTTTGAACAGGGGCTCCAAACACCCCGATGAAGAGAAGAGCAGGATAAGAACAGGAAGCTTATGGTTACCGTAGCAGTGAGTTGGCTCAGATTTAAGCAGTCATATCCTTAGCTAATCCTCTTACGCATGCCAAGGATTTGGAGGAGATGCCGCCGATATTGGCCATTTTGTGCGTTTTATATGAATAGAAGAACGGTGGTGTTCATGACGGCTGATGTCCATGGCGGATTAGGCAGGAATAATGTTATTGACTGGCAAACTTTGATACGGAAATGTGCGTAATTGGACCTTGCTTCAGGCGTTCCCTATCAAGATGACTGTTAACCCTTATAGAAGCCGCAGGTATTGTTGGCAATAACAAAATCATGTTGTAATTTGGTATCACTCATAGCTTGTTGAAGACATGAAGAGATGCATTCGCATGTCTTCATGAGACTCATGAACTGTTGAACGTTATCCTCAGTTTTAATCAGGGGGACGTTCACCACTCCTCAAACTCCAGAGCTTTTGAATTTAACAATATTAGAAAGAGGATATCCATCAGAGTGAATAAAATTTATACAGGCACATAAAATCCCAAGCTTATTACACACTAAGGCCTATTATTTAGTAACTACGGGGACTTCAGTGTAAACTGGCTGAGCTATTCTTAGGTCATAGAAGTGTGTAATAAACCCAATGTAGTAGACCCACCAGAGGGCCCTGGCCATTTAAGATGTTGAATGAAATCTCCATAAAACTTAAAAATACTCGTTGGAACAACCAAGCCTGACCCAACGAAGCCTGACCCAATGAAGCCTGACCCAAGATTGATGTTGTTCTTGTAAAATTTGCACAAACCCGGCCTGAAACCTGATATTTTGTCTGACCCTGTCACTCTCAGGTTGAGTAGCAGACCACTAGTGTGAAGAACATAGTTGTTCATTTTAACTCCATAATTTGAAGGTTCTGCACCACTAAAAAGGGCTTTACCTAGAACCATATAGCCAAGCCAAACACTATTAAGGAAACTATAAGGGATAAAATAAGGGCATGTCTGTGTCAGTTGTCCATGTTGCATGTTCCAGTCTTTGTATTTTTCCAGAGCAGAGCTGTTTACACTGTTTATTCGTACTAGGTCACTGTAAAAAATGGCCACCTGTATGACCTGGTTTATTTCATTGCGCAGTCCTTTGTGCCAGCATGCTCCTTTCATTTGGGATACAATTTCTGAACAATTGCTTTATTGCTTTGGAGTGACCTGCTTGGTTTTGTGCTGAGGAAGTGGTTTAAGTGAAGACGGACGTAGAGAACTCATTCGGGTCAGCAAATCAGTGTCGGCAGGGGGGTCCGTTAGCTTTAGAAGTGGGCCCTCTTGTGAGTCGTGCGGGCGTTAAGTGTGTTGGGGGGAGTGACATCCTTAAGTGTTGCTGCTATGGAGCGAAAAATGCCAGGCGGCATGGCCTGAAGGGCCTTTACTGAGCGCATGCTTCAAGGAACACATTGAAAGAGCTGGAGCCAGTGGCACTTTGATTGCTCGGCACTTGCGGGTTTCTACTGATTGCATGTTTTTGAACAAAAGGGAAGGAGTTTTTGTTGGTGGAGCAGTGAGCATCCAATTGCTCCCATGCAATGAGCAATGAATCGCTTTTGCGCCAAACTGATGGAGCAGGACATTGGGTGGACCGGAGCGTCGGCTGCCTCTGGGGTGAATACGCTGAAGCTCGGGGGGCCTGGATGGGGGGGGCAGGTTCCGCTTCATCAGAAGCCAAAGAGACAGTCATGCTGTTAAATGTAGGCCACCATATAAACAGCCTTACATACTGTTGAAAAAATTGGAATAACTTTAGAATCATTTACTGCTCTGTTCATTATTCAGGAATAGGATTTCCTATTTAAACCTCTGAAGTTGCACAGAACAAGCATATTAGAATTTTTTCATGTATCTGCAACAAAACTGGTTTTATATTATTTAAAAAGGTACAACAGTGTATATATTTTTGGTGAAGCTTTTTATAGAATTATTATTTATCTTTAAACTTGATTGAACCGCTATTTCATAAACCCTCTTGGGTCTCCACAGACTTCAGTCTTCCTTCATCTATTGATTTCTTTCTTTTCTAGTTGTTTTGTCAGAGGAAGAGATGAAGATTTGTTTCAGCAATGCAGTTCATTTTGAGTTTATAGTTAACCATGGTGTGCTAAGCTAAGAGTGGGTGATGAGGCAAACCATCACGTACATACAGAATGCTGGAAATAATGCCCATTCAGACTAATGTGAAATTTTGTCAGGTGCACAGCTTTTTATAGCAAAATTTAAACTAGCTAACAGACATTTTTCTATTCAGCTTTTGCAAAAATAAGCAAAGAGAAACAGGACAAAAAAGTCAAGTAAGAAGTGAAAACAAATGAATAACGTAAACATGATGTAATAATTATGACAAGCAATTTTAGCTTTTCATCCAATTTTTCCTGAAATCAAAAATTCAATTTAAATATGTAAAAATTTAATATAAAAAACACTATTTTTTGTACTTTTAAAAATATGTACTGGTAAAAATATTATATATTAAATATTAAATGTTTACCCCATTCAAATAAAGAGGGAAACTCATGAATTTTCATTTGAAAAAAAATCAATTTCGATAAGTAAGAAGAATTCAATTCTTTTTAAAAATGTCATTTTTACATGTGGATATTTAATTCTTAATATCAAAAAATTAAATTCTTACTGGTAAAAACGTGATTCTTACTATCAAAAATAAATTTTTTACTAGTGAGAATTTAACTCCTTATTAAGAATAAAATTTTTTACTAGTAAAAATACTAGTACCAGTTGATCTACAGTTGACCTGAATCTGTAGCTGGATTACAGGCCTAAATCTTTACATGCCGTTATTTAATGTTGTAGAAAAATTCATGATACCACAGAAAAACCTAATGTGACATATATTATTATGACAGCAATAGCGTATCATATTGCCCAGCCCTACAGCTAGCTCACAACATAATTTTGTTCATGCTTTTCAAGCTATATTTGTGCTGTGTAATTGAGTTAATCCTGTTGAGTGCTGAATATTTGATGTTAATATTAGTAACCTTCTAAAAATTATCATTATTATTTCTTCTTTTTCACTAGTAGTGTGCAGATCCTGTACTATGGAGCACTTTAGCAAGATGTTGGCAGTTGGTGTTTGGAAAGACACCAGCCTAATATTCCAGTCACAATCCTATTTTTGTAGCATTCTATACGGCTAGGTAATGCAGTTTGCCCCTCCGTCTCTGTCATTACATTTGATTGCCTTATTCTGTGAATGCATTTGTATTCTTTGTTTGGTCATAACTGACCTGCCTGTCCTTTCATAGCTACTGCTGTAATGTTGGACAGGCTTTATAGAACTTTGGAAACATTCTTATCCAGCCTAATAAGAAACATTGCTACTGTCATGTACACAACTTAGGTCTTCTAGGGCGTCTGTTGGCTTAGTGTTCTCCTCCAAGCATGTTAAGCTGTCTAGTGACATTGTGTTAGCAGCAGTTTGAAAAGATGCAGTGGTACTTCATGTGTCTCAGATGATGAATGTGCTAGCCTTCACCCCCTCAGCTTGGTAGTATTGTGTGATGGGGGAGACCTAGCGAGCAGGTGGGAACTGGGAAGAAAAATCAGGCAGTAGTGTAGAAAAATGTCATGCAACCAAGCTGGGTTATATTGTTATAGCTAGTAGAAAAGCTGCTACAAAAGAATTGCATTTGTAGATGTAGCATAGATAGGTCATTTCATTAGGCCCATGCCTGGATGAAGTTTCAGTATAGGATCGTATCTCTTCATATGGTAGAGCCAGTCCCATAAGGCCAGGAGACTCATTCTCAGCACTTTGTCACAGGTCATCGCCACTATATCCCATCAGTGTCACTTTAACTTTCTCATCACGCTTTTTTAACCACATTTTCATGAGAATCTTTTCAGTCACTCAGGCCTGGAGTGCCACATAAACGTGTGGGGAACAGGGCGTGAGAACAGCTTTCCGGGGCAACATCTTAATTGGAAACTTTTCAAATCTGCATTA